TATATATATATATATATATATATATATATATATATATATATATATACCATACTGTATATATTTAGTCTATACAATTTAGACATTTTCACTAAAATAAGGAAATTATCTCCTTTTCTTAGTGTGATCCTCCACAGCCAGTCATGATTCAAAGTAAATATGAAATTTACCAGGCTGTAGAGAAGAAAATGTCTAAAGATATTAAAAACTGGTACTTTGCTACATTATCTCTTATTTGTAGAAATCACGAGTTTGTTCACTGAGTTTTGGATCATTTATGCTTGAATGATTATGAATTAGTCTTACTGGCTTGCTATACAATAAGGATTAACTTTTTAAATGTCAGAATTTCTATAACTTTAGGAGTTGATTTCTGAAGGTCTGTCAAGTAATTTTTAGATTGGTTTATGCAGTCCAAATTTGAAAAAGAATAATTAAATGTATGCTTTAATATATTTTCTTTCTTTCTATGTTTATACCTCTTCCTCGTTTGAATTTCCGGAGCAAATTTTCCCAACCACTGGATGAGGTCCCAGCACTAGTGCTCTAAAATAAAATAAATAAATAAAAAATGTCAGAAAAAAGGCAACCAATAAGAAAGCAAATAAAAAATAATAATAATAAAAAAACAGTTCTTACCCTTGTCCTACCCTGGGATGCCAGTGACTTAATTATTAATCCTGACCGCACCTGAAAATTAATTTCTCCAACATTAGTACAGTGCTTAACAAATACCACTCAATTGTTTAAAGAAAATGAAAATGGTTACTTTTTTGTTATACAAATTCTATAACCTACATCACTACAATGATTTATTTAGACATGCTACATATCATCTCAATTATTTGTATTATAGTTCTATTTTGTATAGGCTTCGCCCTTTAAGGCTTCTCGCTAGTGGGTTTATCCCTATGCGCTCAGCGCTGCTCTGAAAAATACTTTAGTCCACGCCCACCTGCTATGTGTGGGCCTCACCCCCGGTCCGTATAAATTATGGTGAGACCAGGTAATCGGCTCCCATTTTATCTTCAGCCAGCTAGCAAGCACTGTCAGAAGAACGAAGAAGGAAAAGCTGTATAGCTTGGACCGGCACAAACTTTGCTAAGGATGCCTGGGTCTCCGCCACGCCAACCTCCTGCCGTCCCGGTGAGCTCTTCCTCCCCGAGGAGAAGCAGACGTGCAGCCTTGTTCAAGGTAAGCGCCGAGGACTGCTTTTCCCTGGCGGGCTGCTACCCGCTGGATGACGCCATCACCTTTTCTAACGTGTTTTTTCCTTGCGGTAATCAAATATTTTCCTCAAAAAAGGCGATGTTAATAGCAGCCCAACTGAATGTTTTTTTCCGTGGTGGGCCGCTACCTGCTGGACGACGCCACAACCTTTTCTAACGTGTTTTGTCCTTGCAATAATCAAATGATTTCTTCAAGAATGCGATGTTAGCAGCAGCCCCGCTGAATGTTTTCTGTGGAGGGCCGCTACTCGCTGGACGACCCACTGCCTTTTCTAATGTGTTTTTTTTCTCGAGGCAAATCGGATGATTCCCTCAAAAAGGTGTTGTTGGCAGCAGCTCCGCTGAGTATGTTTTTTTTTTTTCTGTGGTGGGACGTTATGCGTGGGACGACGCCACCGCCTTCTTTGACGCAGAATCACGCAGTGAATCGAATGACTCCTCCGAGAAAGGCGATGCGGAACTGCCCCTTCCCTCCTGTAGAGCGTAGTGACGGAAGATGAGTGGCCGAGTAGATGCTCAGCCACCTCGGATCTTCCAACGTCGGCGACCACACCGCACCCAGCTGTCGGCGCCCTCCTCTCAGAGCTGCCCGGCATAATCCAGGAGGATGTTAACACAAGGGATTTTCCATCCCTCGCCTCCCTCTGCCCTGATTGGATGATCTGGTGGCAAGGTTGGCTCCGCCCCAACTCGTCGCCCTGACCCCACCAGGCCTCGCTGTTCAGCTGTGATGTCACACTGGAACGAGGCTGCAGCTGGGCCGGCAAGCTGAAGACACCCGTCTCCACCTTCGCCTCCATTTCCAGAGTGGAGGGATTTACCGATCTGTGGGTTTTTTTTCCCTCGGTCCCTCCCTGGAGCCAAGCCTGGCGGTGACACTTGGGGCAAAAGCTTCCAGGAAGGACCAGCAACCTGTCCCTCCAGGGAAGCATGACCAGATGGTGACAAGGTCTCCAACTGAGCTCACCAGTGCTCATTCCAGACGGCCGCAGCGAACAACAACGTCGCCCCGCTGGCCTACAGCATCTCTAAGAGGCTGGAGGAAGCAGATCTGCTGGAGGAAACAAGAGCTCTCTCTGCAAAGCTGCTGATGTCATCTTAAACATGTGCCACCTCTGCGATCTGCCTGTCCCGCATCGCTGCCTGGATGACCATGATCCAGAGGACCACTTGGCTCTGCCTCTCACCATCCTTGTCAGAGAGGCTGCAGAAAGACCTGCTGGAGGGCCCCATCACCCCAGAGGTGCTGTTTGGGGCCATTTTCAGGACCATCCTTGAGAAATCGCAGAGGTCCGAGGAGGTCTCAGAGACTACACCATCTGGTGACGTAACAGTCCATCTGCCCCTCCGGCCGCTGGAGGGACCGCCTTGGCCAGCAACAGCACTAGAGGCGCTCTACAGCTGCGGCAGCAACTTCACGCCCTGCTCCTCCGCCGGCCCCCTCTACCAGGTATCAGATCCTTGAGGGGAAGGTATGTGTTTTTTGATGATGTATGTTTTTGATATAAAACAGAAACACCTCTGAAAGTAAAGTTTTTCACTTGAGATTGTCAGATCAGCTGATCTCTCAGCTGCCTCTCTTCACACATTCCCCACACAGAACGAGCCAGTAACCTCTAAACAGTGTTTTAAATGACACCACAGTTCAGTAAATATCACAAGCCGGAACCCGTTGTTAATTTCTGCTGTTTTCTGTCCACTCATAGCGCAGCGGGAGTAAATGTGTTTTCTCCACGACAGCTGCAGCCTCTACCGAAACGGCGTCTCACTCAGAAAGCGCTAACGCCTCCTCTTGGTGCGCGCCAGTTCACCTCAGCTCTATGTGAGACCACAGCCTGGGCCCAGCACAGAGGCACACATTCAGCCCTTTTTTCTGTCAGAACCCCCATTGGGTTCCCCCGGAGAATCTACGGAACAAGTGATGGCAGTATGTTTTTTTAATCTGGTTGACGTTCATGAGAAACCTGACAACACAAATGCATGCTCGCTCTCCGAGCTCTACTCAGAGTGGCAGCGAGTGTGTTCCCTGGAAAGATGGACGGACCATCTGATCAGAAAGGGTTACACACTACAGTTCACAGCTCAACCCCCACTGTTTTTAGAGGGATTATAGAGACGGTCCTGTCTTCTCCAGAACAGAGCTCATCTCTCCAGTCAGAAGTTCAGGAATTCCCGATGAAAAACGTGATTTCCAGAGTTTCCAACAGAGAGGAAAATACGTTTTTTTTTTCCTGGTTCTGAGAAAACCGGAGGGACGAGACCATTCTCGACCTGTTCATGTTCAACAATTTGATCATGGAGAGACAATTCCACACGCTGACAAACAGCTGCTGGAGAACTTCACCAGAATGACTGGTTTTCACCTCCATAGATCTGAAGAGCACATATTTTCACATTTCCATCATTCTGAAACACCCCACGCATGTTCTCAAAATGCGTGGAGATGGCTCTGGAGTCGTTACACATGGCAGGAATGAGAAATCTTTTTATCTGGACGATCTGCTCTTATTAGCATGGTCCAGTTAGAAAGCTGTCGCACAGAACAAAACGCTAGTGTTCCACCTGCTAAACCTGGGGTTTTTCTGTAAACTGGGAAAAACTTCCGTTCGTCCGACCCAGACAATTGTTATCTGGAAGTGGAGCTAAACTCAACTACATTGAGGGCCGAAGCTCTATCAGCTCAGCTCCTCCATGTCAAACCCAGCTCCGCCGTGTCAAACCCTGCACCGTAGTGACAGTTCTGCCTGTCATGCAACTCCTGGGACGATGTCAGCGGTCCACATCGTGGCTCCGCTGGGCCTACTTAACATTAGACGCCTTCAGAGATGGTTCGCCTGCCTGCGCATTGATCCTGCATGCCAGAAGAGGTGGATTACCTTTGTGCTCCCCTCTGTGAGAACCAATCTGAATCACTGGGGAAACCCCCTCATTCTGTCAGAGGGAGTTCCCATCAGCAGGCCTATATCACACATCTCAGTCTTTTCACAGACGCGTTCCTGTCAAACTGGGAGGAATGTTTCTGTCCCAAGCAGTGGGAGCACAGTGGCTGGACCACATGTCGCTTTACATGATGTGCTAGAATATTTTTCATGGTCTGAAACGTGACTCAGCATTTTACCCCTGTTGCGGGATCAGCATTTTCTGATTCACACAGACAACAAGTGACGGCGGTTTACATAAACCGTCAGGGAGGTGTGTGCTCAGCCCAACTGTTACGCATCACAAAACAGCTGTTGTGTTGTCCACACAGAAACCTGCTCCCCATCAGAGCTGTGGATTTTCCCAGCGTTCCTGAACAGGAGAGCAGATATCATGTCGAGGGGCGGTCCCCACAGAGACTAGAGCCTCCATCCCGAGCTGATTTCTCAGATTTTTGGAGCAGGTTGGGCTGAGCACCAGTGGATCTGTCCGCCACATGGGAGAACGCCCAGTGTCAATTATGGTTCGCACTGAGCCCACGAGACGACCCACCGTTAGGAGTGGACGCCTTCGCTCACAGCCGTGGCCAAAAATGCTCCTTTATGCGTTTCCCCCAGTTCCGCCAATATCACGGACCCTGGACCAGGTCCGGGAGGAAGTACCGTCAGTCATCGTTGTATCTCCTGAACGCATTTGTGCTCCGTGGTTCCTGAATCTGCAGCAACTGATATCGGGTCGGCTGTGGAAACTGCTGTGGGGGGGGGGGGGGGTCTCCTTCAGGCAGGAAGAGCAATCAGGATTTACCCAGAAATAGGTCAGCATCTTTGGGTCTGTCTGCTGAACAGATCCGTTTAGAAAAGATGGGCCTCCCACAGGATGTGGTGCGTACGTTCAGGGCGCACAAGCTGCTTCTACCACAACGCTGGACACATCAAGTGGACAGTTTTTTTTCAATGCTGGTGCGCAGAGAAAGGCGTGGAGGCCATCTCATGTCCACTAGGTGGCATGCTGTCCTTTCTGTAGCAGCTGATGGACAGAGATCTGGCGTTCAGCACAATTAAAACTTATGATGCAGCTATTTCTTCCTGTCACAAGCGCTTCGGTGACAAAACAGTTCTTAATCACCCGTTTATGAAGTGTTTCCTGAAAGGTGTACGGAGACACAGACCGGTGTCACGTCCACTAGCTTCACAGTGAGACCTAACGATGGTCCTGCATGCTCTGATCAAAGCTCATTATGAGCTTTTAGATCAGGTTTACTTAAATTTCTGTCATTTAAAACAGCCCTGCTGTTAGTTTTCTGTCGGCAAAAGAGAGTGAGTGTTTGTTTGCTCTCTCTGTTACTCCCTCATGTCTCAGAATTCAAGCTGACGGAAGTTCAGCTGTACTGCATTTTAACCCTGCTCTGAAAAGCATCACAAGCTCATTCAGATCGAGAGTGATAACTTGGATGGGTTTTATCCTCTTCCTCATAACTCTGAAGAGGAAGCAACATCTCACCTCCTTCTGTCCCATGCGCTCATTTTTCATATTACGTGGTGCACACGGCCGCACTGTGCCTTTTTCAGCATATGTTTGTGCATTACTGGGACAGCTCTTAAGGACATCCTCTATCCACCCAGCGCCTCTCACACTGGTTGTATGAGGCTATTTCTCAAGTTTACTTTTCATCTGGACTGGATCCTCCACCAGTGGGTTTTCATCCTCCATGGCTCTGCATGGAGGGATGACAGTGGAGAATATTTGTATGGCGGCTGCCTGGTCATCGCCATGTTCAATTATTTGTTTTTATCTACGTGATGTTTCTACTTTCACCATGACCCATTCTGTTCTAAGGGTTCTGACAGAAAGATTATTTGTTTCATGGAACCTCACTTTTGAGTTCACACCTGCCTGCATGCAGTCGCAGTGTGAGATATGTATTATCAGTCACAAGTTCATGACTGCTGATTTTATTGTTATTAACAGGTTCATCCTGAGGAGCTGTTGTTCTGCTCTGTTCATCTTTACACTGTTACAGCTCGTATCCTCCGTTGTTCCTATTCACAGCAGCAGGTCTGCTATCTCAGCCTTTTTTCCTCACCAGAGATCGTCTCCGGTGCGTTTCTGCGCATGGAGCATGCAGTTACGCAGCACGTAATTACGCACAGAAGGCTGAGTGATGAATTTTTTTTTTTTTTTTGTGCAAGCAGGTGCTTCATGTTGTGTCCGAGTGGACCCAGTGAGGCATAGACTACATCCTGCTTCGCCTTTAACCCACTAGCTAGAAGCCTTAAAGGGTGAAGCCTATACGAAGTAGAACATTGGTTACGTACTGTAACCCCAGATTCTATGAGTATAGGCGTACCCTGTAAGCTCTGGGCCTCACTGGTTCCTAAATGGCTGAAGAAAAAAGCTTTTTTGGGAGCCGATTGCCCGGTCTCACCGTAATTTATACGGACTGGGGTTGAGGCCCACACACAGCAGGTGGGCGTGGACTAAAATTTTTTCAGTGCAGCGCTGAGCGCATAGGGATAAACCCACTAGCGAGAAGCCTTAAAGGGCTACGACTATACTCAAAGAATCTGGGGTTACAGTACGTAACCAACGTTTTAAGTTGACCAAAGGTTTGACAACTGAAACATACACACCTTGCTGTCCAACAGTGTTCCAAACACCAAAATAAAGAAACCCTTCATGAAAACAAAAGGATAACAGAAAAGGTTAATGCATAATATGATGAACAGTACTATATATGAGAATATAAGCAGATGAGAATTCACTACACAAAATTATTACCTGCAATGAGTTAAAGAATGCGAAAGCAATATGGATTCCTCTGTTTGTGGGGTCTGCCAAGATTCCAACTCCCAAACCCCAAGTTATTCCAAAAAATGGTGTGAGCACAGCCAAACTTCTGGCAATAACCACCAGGACATGTTTCTCACCGGCTTGTGCAGCATGTCGTCCAACCTTTCTCCTTAATATTTTGTATAACACTACAAACAAGATCACAAGGTTTATCACCACAATCAAAAGTGCAGGAATCACAAATGCCAGGAGGGCTTTGGACTCATTCCAGTTGAGCCAGCAGACAGTATTTTCTCGGATGTATTCATTTGAGGGTGCAGTTACAGCTATGGTAATTGTTGCAATGATGAGTGGTGCACCATATCCCAAACAGAATCCAATAATCAACATAGTAATTTTAGACAGTCCCCCATCAAAAACACTGAGTGTGCGGTAGAGCAACAGCAGGGCTGAGGCTAACATCCAGAAGAACAGAGCGAGGTAGAAAAAATGAATAAAAAACGTTGCTGCTGTACAGGCTGACGGGTTTTTCTGTGTTGCATCTGAAATCGCAGCTCCAACAATAAACCAAATGTCTGCAACCAGTAGAGAGAGAGCGATGTTAATTATGGAAACATGACGCAGGTAAGAAGTGGAGTTGTTTCTTATTTTTCTCCAAATGATTGCTTCAATGATGAGACATATGACCAAGGAACCCATGGATATGCCAACTCCAATGTAGGTTATGAAGTCCAGTACAGGGTCTCTATAAGTGTTTGGTGACATTAGAATAGAGAATGAGGTGGTGTGGTTGCAGTTGCAGCTGACAGTTTCATTGACATTGAATACTAACGAACAGCCTTCGTTGCTCCAAGCTCCAAGACCTTTAGAAAGGTCAAAGTCCCAGAAAACACATTTAGGGTCTCCAAGTGTAGTGTTGGTTATCTCAAATGTTAGTGTGATATTATTGATGGTGGCCTGTGGCTTAATAAGTACAACCTTTCCATTGATGATTTTATCTGATGAACCGCTGTAATTTGTAGGGAGCACATTATCCATTGAATCAAATAATATAACAGTTATGAACTTATTTATTCCATCAACCTCTGGTATGTCAACATTGACTGAGGAATTAAAGTTACCAGTGAAACTGTTATTCAGTATGGTTTTGTTCAAGATGATATAAGTTGTGGGAATGTTCAAAGACTGATTGAGAACACGGGTTGTAATTGTCTCAAAAGAATTCAACAGTGAAGAGCTGACACTTGTGTTGCTTATTGATTGATTGCTGTTGAAGCTATCATTTTTGTTGATCATTATCCATGAATTCTTTGCTTTGTCAACAGTGAGAACCCCTGTAGTTTCCAGGATATGCTATATTGAAAGAAAAATGATAAAATTAGATTCTAAACAAATATTTTTAGAAAATGTAAATCTCAAAACAAAGTTACCCACCTTTGTAGAATTTTCACTTATTGTAATAGAGTAATTTGAAGCTGTCCCAGCAATATTTTGGAGGATCTCAACTATGGCATGTATGGTGGCTGGAGAATTGGCTATTTCGTTAGTATAATTATGAGTCACATTGCTGAGTTCCTCCAAGAATCCTGGCAGTGTAATTTCATCCAACTTCTGTTACATTAAAGAAAGACAAGTGTTACATGTGTTCAAATGCAAGGAAACAAACTATTTTTTATAACGTTATCTCTTTATAAATTTTGTTTTAATTTTCAGCAGCGTACATGTTCCCAACTGAAGAATCTATATGAAGTTCAGTACATTTGTTTGTCCTTAAATTGGCAAAAGTTAAAGATAGAGCTGCAAAGACTGCACTTCACAATACACATTTTGCATAATATGACTGGGTTGTATGTGGTGTTTGTGAAAAAAAACTCCATCAGTGGACCAATGATGGTTTTGAGACTTTTTATGCACAGTGCATGTACTTTGTAGAAAGTATTCATAACACTTCCTGTTCCCCCCATTTTGTAATGTTGCTCCAAAAATACTGAATGTTATATGCTTTTTATGATTGTCTACTGTTGTCATCTGTTTTCTTTTTTTAAACAGGTCTTTCTTGTAAATGAGTCCTTGAGGCTCAATGAGACTAACTTGTAGAAATAAAGGTTGAATTGAAATAACTATTTTAGAGTTAAAGTCATAACAAGAAGTAGCCTGACAAACAGCTCTTCTTGTGTGATTAGAGCACGCTTCACTTCTCTCACACATCCTTGTCTCAGCCTAAGAAACACAGTGTAGCCTAAGTTAACTTTTAGGTAAAAAAAAAAATCACTAACCAATATGAAACAATAATAATCATTCCTTCTTACCATCGGCCTAGCATAAAGCAACATGTTCATCATCCATCATTAGTAACTTAAAATACTCAATTAAAACTACAGTAGTGGACTAAGTCTACTGTAACCTTACCCAGTTGTAGGGTCAAGAGACAAACGTAGCATTAACACAGTATGAGCAATATTCAGGAATTGTTTCTATAAGAACATTATCAAATATTTTACGTGAACAGTAAGATTGCTTCTCCCATGAGCAAATATAACCCAGGGTGAGCTAACCTCAGACAAAAAAAAACAAACAACGTGACTGTAATGGTGGAGGTAGTGAAGCTCACAGAGTTTAGTCAGGCATTTCTGCTGTATCAGCCAACATTAAGGCTAAGAAGACAGGCAATAAAATAAAATAAAATAAAAAAATTCCAATCTACTAATAACGTCAAATATTTACTGCACTAGATGTTTTCATGCCACAGAGTGACACAGGGCAAGAACTCACAATGAAATTCAGTTTGTAAAAGTGTAAATTTTACATTACACAACCTATTAAACGCTTTGTACAAAATCAGTTTAGTTTTAACTGATCATAACAAAGTGGAAGCACGGTGGCACAACTGGTAGAGCTGCTGCCTCTCAGCGAGCAGGTCCATGGTTCAAACCCCGGTCCAGCAGCCTTTCTGGGTAGAGTTTGCATGTTCTCTCTGTGCATGCGTGGGTTTTCTCCGGGTGCTCCAGTTTCCTCCCACAGACCAAAAACATGCATGTTAGGCTGATTGGTAACTCTAAATTGTCCCTAGGTGTGAATGAGAGAGTGAATGGTTGTTTGTCTCGTTTGTCTCTACGTGGCCCTGTGATGGACTTGCGACCCGTCCAGGGTGTACCCCGCCCCTCGCACAGTGATTGCTGGACATGGGCACCAGCGACCCCCGTGACTCAAAATGGAATAAGCGGTTAAAGATAATGGATGGATGGATGGATAACAAACAAAGACTAAACTTGTACAACCAGAAGTTGCAACATATATATATATATATATATATATATATATATAGGTGAGGGACCAGACAAAGTGCAGCCCAAAGACCCCGATGATGACACAAAGAAATGGACGTAGTGTTCCCTTGCCCGGACGTGGGTCACCGGGGCCCCACTCTGGAGCCAGGCCTGGAGGTGGGGCACGCGGGCAAGCGCCTGGTGGCCGGGCTTTTACCCATGGAGCTCGGCCGGGCACAGCCCGAAGAGGAGACGTGGGTCCCCCTTCCCATGGGCTCACCACCTGTGGGAGGGGCCAAAGGGGTCGGGTGCAATGTGGGATGGGTGGTGGCCGAAGGCGGGGACCCTGGCGGTCTGATCCTCGGCTACAGAAGCTGGCTATTGGGACGTGGAATGTCACCTCACTGGTGGGGAAGGAGCCTGAGCTGGTGTGTGAGGCTGAGAGGTTCCGGCTAGAAATAGTCGGACTCACCTCTACGCATGGCTCGGGCTCTGGAACCAGTTTCCTTGAGAGATGCTGGACACTCTTCCACTCTGGAGTTGCCCCTAGTGAGAGGCGCCGAGCTGGCGTGGGCGTACTTATTGCCCCCCAACTTGATACCTGTGTATTGGGGTTCACCCCAGTGAATGAGAGGGTGGCCTCCCTCCGCTTACGTGTGGGGGGACGGGTTCTGACTGTCGTTTGTGCTTATGCACCAAACGGCAGTTCAGATTATCCACCCTTTCTGGAGTCCTTGGAGGGGGTACTGGAAAGTGCACCTTATAGGGACTCCCTTGTTCTGCTGGGGGACTTCAATGCTCATGTGGGCAATGACAGTGAGACCTGGAGGGGTGTGGTTGGGAGGAACGGCCCCCCTGATCTGAACCAGAGTGGTGTTCTGTTGTTGGACTTCTGTGCTCGTCATGGATTGTCAATAACAAACACCTTGTTCAAGCATAAGGGTGTCCATATGTGCTCTTGGCACCAGGACACCCTAGACCGCAGTTCGATGATCGACTTTGTCATCGTCTCATCTGATCTGCGGCCACATGTCTTGGACACTCGTGTGAAGAGAGGGGCGGAGCTGTCAACTGATCACTACCTGGTGGTAAGTTGGCTCTGATGGTGGGGGAGGATGCCGTTCAGACCTGGCAGACCCAAACGTATTGTGAGGGTTTGCTGGGAACGTCTGGCAGAGTCTCCTGTGAGACGGAGTTTCAACTTCCACCTCCAGGAGAACTTTGAACATGTTCCGAGGGAGGTGGGGGACATTGAGTCTGAGTGGACCATGTTTCATGCCTCTATTGTCGAGGCGGCTTACCAGAGCTGCGGCCGCAAGGTTGTCGGTGCCTGTCGCAGCGGCAACCCTCAAACCCGATGGTGGACACCGTCGGTGAGGGATGCTGTCAGGCTGAAGAAGGAGTCCTATTGGGCCTTTTTGGCCTGTGGGACCTCGGAAGCAGCTGATGGGTACCGGCAGTCCAAGCGACATGCGGCTCGGGTGGTTGCTGAGGCAAAAACTCGGGCATGGGAGGAGTTCGGAGAAGCCATGGAGAACGACTTCCGCACGGCTTCGAGATGATTCTGGTCCACCATCCGGCGTCTCAGGGGGGGGAAGCGGTATGCCACCAACACTGTTTATAGTGGGAGTGGCGTGCTGCTGACCTCAACTCGGGAAGTTGTGGGTCGGTGGGCGGAATACTTTGAAGACCTCCTCAATCCCACCGGCACGTCTTCCACTGAGGAAGCGGAGCCTGGGGACTCTGGGTCGGGCCCTCCAATCTCTGGTGCTGAGGTCACCGAGGTGGTTAAAAAGCTCCTCGGTGGCAGGGCCCCAGGGGTGGATGAGATTCGCCCAGAGTTCCGTAATGCTCTGGATGTTGTAGGGTTGTGTTGGCTTACGCGACTCTACAATATTGCGTGGACATCGGGGGAAGTTCCCCTGGATTGGCAGACCGGGGTGGTGGTCCCCCTATTCAAAAAGGGGGACCGTAGAGTGTGTTCCAACTACAGGGGAATCACACTCTTAAGCCTCCCTGGTAAGGTCTATTCAGGGGTTCTGGAGAGGAGGGTCCGTCGGATAGTCGAACCTCGGATTCAGGAGGAGCAGTGCGGTTTTCGTCCTGGCCGTGGAACACTGGACCAGCTCTACACTCTCAGCAGGGTCCTGGAGGGTGCGTGGGAGTTTGCCCAACCAGTCTAGATGTGCTTTGTGGACTTGGAGAAGGCGTTCGACCGCATCCCTCGGGGGGCCCTATGGGGGGTACTCTGGGAGTATGGGGTACCGGGCCCTTTGATACGGGCTGTTAGGTTCCTGTATGACCGGTGCCAGAGCCTGGTCCGCATCGCCGGCAGTAAGTCGGGCTTGTTCCCGGTGAGAGTTGGACTCTGCCAAGGTTGCCCTTTGTCACCGATTCTGTTCATAACTTTTATGGACAGAATTTCTAGGCGCAGCCAAGGTGTTGAGGGGATCCGTTTTGGTGGCCTTAGGATTGCATCTCTGCTTTTTGCAGATGATGTGGTCTTATTGGCTTCATCAGATCGTGATCTACAGCTTTCGTTGGAGCGGTTCGCAGCCGAATGCGACGCGGCCGGGATGAAGATCAGTTCCTCCAAATCCGAGGCCATGGTCTTGAGCCAGAAAAGGGTAGAGTGCCCTCTCCGTGTCAGGGAGGAGGTCCTACCCCAAGTGGAGGAGTTCAAGTATCTTGGGGTCTTGTTCACGAATGAGGGAAAAATGGAGCGTGAGATCGATAGGCGGATAGGTGCAGCGTCTGCAGTGAAGCGTGCGCTGTACAGGTCTGTCGTGGTGAAGAGAGAGCTGAGTCAAAAGGCGAAGCTCTCAATTTACCGATCGATCTACGTTCCCACCCTCATCTATGGTCATGAGCTTTGGGTTGTGACCGAAAGAATGAGATCTCGGATACAAGCGGCCAAAATGAGTTTTCTCCGCAGGGTGTCTGGGCTCTCCCTTAGAGACAGGGTGAGAAGCTCGATCATCCGGGAGGGACTCAGAGTAGAGCCGCTGCTTCTCCACGTCGAGATGAGCCAGTTGAGGTGGCTTGGGCATCTGTTTAGGATGCCTTCTGGATGCCTCCCTGGTGAGGTGTTCCGGACACGTCCCACCGGAAGGAGGCCCAGAGGAAGACCCAGGACACGCTGGAGGGACTATGTTTCTCAGCTGGCCTGGGAACGCCTCGGGATTCCCCCGGAAGAGCTGGCCCAAGTGGCTGGGGAGAGGGAAGTCTGGGCCTGGATCTATGCGCAGGCGGACAAACCATCTCTGAAGGCGTCTCATGTGAAGCAGGCCCAGCGGAACCATGGTGTGGGCTGATGACATCATTTCCAGGAGTCAAATGACCGAC